ATGACCCTGCCAGGGTGCTGGTGGCTCCACAAGGCATAGCACAGTGCTGAGTGGGGTACGGAGCCCATGTTCCTGACCATCAGCTTGCCTCTTCTTCCTCAGCCTCTCTGTCCTCGATGCTTAAAGCTTATTTCCTATGGTGCTCAAGCAAATGGCCACATAGTTACTGTCCTTGAATTGTGAAAGCCAGGAGTCCAAAGATCTGCAGAGCTGCTTCTTTCTGCCCTGGAGACTTGGGTCCCATCCTTTACTCTGCATGACACCCTGACCTCTCCTCTCCTTGGGTTCTTGTCCTCCTGCCTTCCTCTTATGAGGATTCTCCAGACCACTGGGGCTGCCTACACAGGCACAGACAACCTCTATGTGACAGAGCCTCAGTCCCACTGTGTGACCTGTCCCACCGACGACGGCCTATCTGACTGCCCTCACTCAGCCTACCACCAGTAACAGACATTCTCCATGAAATCTCAGGACTGCCCCAAATTACTCTTTCTTTAACTAGGGATAAATAGAATTCTACCAAAAGGCAAGGAAGAATCTGGGATTCCCCAAATAGGATATTCCTGGGGATTTGCTCCTTCTGGGGATACTTTGGAAACATGAAAGAGCAAAAGCATCCAGAATCTCCCTTCTGCCACCTTGAGGTGGTTACACCATGGTGTGGTAAGAGGAGCTTGGCTCCAGGGACCCTCCTGCCATCCATACAAAGGGTCCCTAGGACCCCTGTTGGGAACTGGATCTCTTCGCCCTCCCCCTGGGTGCATCCCAGCTGTGGAGGACCAGCCTCCTCTTCTTATCCAGAACCTGGATTTGGGGTATGTGTGTAACAAGACCTCAAGAGTGGCAACGCCCACAGGCTGACTGTGCAGGGAAGAGCTGGGGCACTGTGCAGAGGGCAGGGAAAACGCAGTGGGTTTCAGGGCAGTCAACCATCTCTGACTTGCTGGCCAGACCTTGAAGGGCTGAATATTTACTGCACAGAATAATTACTGTTGGGCGGTGTGCACAGCAGGAGACACTCAGTCTGCCAGAGCCTGGCAGTTACAACACCAGGGAAAGGGATTCGCAGCCAGGCCCCTCATCTCTTTATCTGAGATTTCCTCCCTCCCTGGAACTCAGAGATGATGCATGAATTTCCCTCCTTCCCATGGGAAAGAGGTAACAGAACACAAAAGACAATCTCAAGCTAGTGGCTTATAGTAGTCTTTGTAATCAGTGTCAGCCACATCGGCTTACCCTCAGCAGGGGCTGGATTCCAGTTTTCCCCAGCATTCTAGGCAGTGGGGTATGGCTCCACCTCCCTAACTGGGAGGGTTGCCAGCCCTAGCCTGTGCCTCAGGGCACTGCTTTCTGAGGGCTTAGTAAGTACTTATACAAAAAAAAAAAAAAAAACAAACAACTAGGGCTGGGATGGTGGCTCAGTGGTAGAGTGCTTGCCTTGCATGCATAAGGCCCTGGGTTCAATTCCTCAGTACCACATAAACAGAAAAAGCCGGAAGTGGTGCTGCAGAGAGCTAGCCTTAAGCTGAAAAGCTGAGGGACAGCGCCCAGGCCCAGAGTTCAGGTCCCATGACCGACCAAAAAGAAAAAGGAAAAAAGAAAGAAAGAAAATCTAAGCCAGCATTAGTGACTCACGCTTTGTAATTCTAGCTACTTAGGAGGCCGAGATCTAAGAAGGACGGCTCAAATCCAGCCTGGGCAGGAAAGTCCAAAAGACTTTAGTCTCAAATTAATTACCAAAAAGCCAGAGGTGGAGCTGTGGCTCAAGTGGTAGAGTTGTAGCCTTGAGCAAAGGTCGGGGACAGGCCCAGGTATCTGAGATCATCCCCAGAACCAGTACCAAAAAAAAAAATCTTTTATCCAAAACAGGGGAAGAAAAGCAGAAACATTGAAAAAAAAAACAATGAAATACACCAATATTTCCTAATAATTCTTTTTAGCAGCATCTCCCAGTTTTCTGCCTCATTCAGCTTTTTCTCCTACTGAGCATCCTCTGTGAAAACACTGGTTCCAAGATCTACCAACTCAGAGCTCCAGTGTAGCAGCCCATTGCTCTGAGGAATCCAGATACCTGACAAAGACTTGGGACATGGAAGGGAAATATGAGCTGCCTGTGTGAGTGATGTGAGTGTGTGACCAGCACTATGGGCGTGGTGGGAATATGCTCACCTGGACATTTAATCCACACTAGCAAAGCCCTGCTCTCCAATAATACTTGGCTACATACATGAGAAGACACGAACCATAGCTATACTTATACAATAGAGTATTACACTGCCATTAAAGATCATATTTTATTTCTGCAGTATAAGGGATGGAAGTGCAAGTGCTCTACCACCTACCTATAGCCTCAACTCTGAAGATCGTATTGGGGAAAAAATATAGCATGGGAAAATCTATTAGGAGAAAAGCAGGCCACAGGATTAAGGCTAGTCTCAATTGTAAAAGCTGTGAGTGTATGAATAATTGGAGGACATACACCCGACGTGTTTCATAGTTTAAACTTTTTCACTTCATTTTAGTTTCACTTTAAAACAATGTGTTTCTCTTTATAGTTTTCAAACTGGTATATTTTAAAGTAACAAATAGTAAAAACCCCCCGCAGCACTCTACAATGAAAAGAGGAGGAGCCTGGTGGAGGGCTTTACATCACCAGGTGTGTGCTGAAAGGGGCCCAGCCACTTCCTCCCTCTCTTTTGCTTCCTGGCAGTAAGGTGAACGGTTTGGCTTGACCACAATTTGCCCATTGCGGTATACCCTTGCGCCCAGGTTCAAAGGCAACAAAATCAATTAATCATGCATGGAAATCCAAAACTGTGAGCCAATCAAACTTTTCCTCTCTGTAAACAGATTGTTTCAGACATTTCTTTTTTTTTTTTTTCCTGGTCGAGGGGCTTGAACTCTGGGCCTGGGTGCTATCCCTGCGCTCTTCAGCTCAAGGCGAGCACTCTACTGCTTGAGCCACAGCTTCACTTTTGGTTTTCTGGTGGTTTATTGGAGATAAGAGTCTCACGGACTTTCCTGCCCGGGCTTGGCTTTGAACCGTGATCCTCAGATCTCAGTCTTCTCAGTAGCTAGGATTACAGGCATGAGCCACCAGTGCCCGGCTCAGAAGTTTCTTATGGTCATAGAAAACTAACCAGCATTCTCTGGATCATTGTTTTCTGGACTAGACTCTGAAGCCTCTCTAAAGCATCCTTACTGGTAATATAATATAATATATATCAAAGCAGGAGTTCTCTTTGGTATACCAAGCCTGAAAAGGAGTTATATCTAGGCAGGGTGCTAGCAGGGTTGTGTGGGGTGCGCTAGGAAAGGTGGGGGCTTCTGTGCTGGGAAAATGCACGCCTTGGTAAAGTGGAGCTGGTGCTGCCTGTCCATGGCTGAGTGGCCACAGCCATTTGATTTCTCTAAGCGCAATCTCCTCTCGATCCCTCCACCCCATCAGAAAAAGGAAGGCCTAGCAGCTTTCCCCCCTGCAGGCCTGTGCGGGGGGGGGGGGGGGGGGGGGGGGGGGATAGAATGACCTGTGCTTGATAACTTGGAAACTAAGGCCCTCAGTAAAGGAAAAGCTTGACAATCTCTAGGAACGCTAACTTCTTAGGAAAATTACCAGTGGCTCTATTTTCCTTCAAGAGCTCACCAGTCACAATCCACGACCCCCTCAAACACTCCTGAAAAGTGACCAGGAATTTTATCGGCCACCTTGAACTCATTTACGCTTTCCCTGTATCCCTCGCGTGTCACAAGCAGTGCATGTGTCCATTCTGCTGTCCACTGGACAGGCTGGCTTTCCTCGTTTCTCCTGCAGGAGAACAGGGCTGGCTCCCGAATCACCGCTCCTAGACACAGATGTCACAGGACAGGCTGGGCCCCAAGCGCCAGTGAGGCCTTCCACCCTCCTTTCCTCATTTTTTTTGACTGGCTGCAACAGCTCTGGTGGAGGTCACATTTAATGGAAGAAGCCTCAGACCCTACATCACAGCCTGAGGCCATTCTCCAACACCCACTAACACAGGGCCCATGGGAAATCCCAAGAGGCAGAATCTGTATCTCCCCTGACTAACACCCCATGACCATATCCTCCTCAGTACTGCAGTGTCAGCCCACACTCCCCACTGTGCCCTATAGGAGGGACATGGGACAGGAAGCAGAGGAGATAAGCCCAACCCCACCCAACAGGAAAACTCACCTGGAGGAAAAAACAGGTCAAATTCTTTTTCAATTCCCTGGCTGATTTAAGACTTGCCCTCCTTCTTCCATAACGAAAGTGGGGGTGTATACTAGTCCAGAGAACTGAAGCATCCGGCAGAGCCTTTGACAACCCAGTCCTAGCGGAATTTAAAAGTGAGATGCCCAGAGAGAAGGGCTGAGCCCCATCATGGCAGGAGAGGGTGCTAGACGGGGGTCTACAGAGGTGTACACCATAGAAGCAGGCCAGCAAGGCAGAGAACCGATCCCCTACATTTCTTATTCCCAGGATGTCCAACCCAAGCCCAGGCTGCTCAAGGTCATGATTTAGGAATCTACCATATGCTTCAGTTAAAAAAAATCACTCCTCACTTTGTCTTAATTTCAACATACTCTGTGAACAGACACCACAATCCCTAATGGTACACCCGACTCGGGACTGACTCCGTGGCTTCCATACATTGCCTGGTTTCTTTCCCACCATCATCCTGTCCATTCCTAAGTGAGAGACATGAACCCAGGACCGGGCAAACACCTGCAGGAGGCACGTACTGCTCATGAGAAGGTAAGGCCAGGGCCCAGTCCACGCATCTCCAGGCCTACGCAAGGCTGTGCAGTGAGCCTGGTGGGCACTGCAGGGCAGCTACAGCAATGAGGATGTCTTAGGAAGGAGAGAGGACACCCGGGTTGGAGGACCTCCCCACCCCTCAGCAGGCAGGAGCACCCTAGTGAGAGTACTCCAGGAGGAACGTGGAAGCTAGGACTCTGAGGCGGGCATTCAGAAGGGCAGAGATCACGAATGCACTCACCTGGTACGGGTACAGGGTGACCCCGTTGGTTCTTGAAAGGGACCAGGTGCCGTCCAGGTACTGGTGAGCCTGAACGGCCACGGAGTTGAGAACATTCCCATTATTGGGACTGGTGGCCGTCTGGAGGCCGGCCTTGGCCTGGTGTGTGGGGGACCCGCTCTTCTTCTCCAGCCCATTGCTGACCCCCAGGCTGTTGGGCTTGCTGTTGTGCTTGTTGACCAGGCCCGTGTAGTTGGAGGGGGCATAGGCGGCAGGCACAAAGGCCCAGTCCCTGGGCTGGTGGAGGCTGCCCGCGTGCCGTGAGCCGGCCAGCACAGGGATGGGGGAGAGTGGCGGCGGGGAGCCGGGGGCAGCATCGAAGTGCTCGCTGCTGGCCGCCTGCTCCAAGGTCAGCACTATCTGAATGGCCTCCTGCTTCAGCTGGTTCAGGTGCGTGGCACAAATGTCACAGCGGTTGTCCCGGTCGTTCCAAGCCTTCCGGATTGTGTTGGGGACCTGGAGTTTGTCGTGAACCACAGCAGAGAAGTCAGGATCCTGGAGAACACATGGGAGAAGGTAAAAAGGAGAGCCTGAAACTCGAGGCTGGCCCGCACAATCCCACCTTAGCTTCCAAAGAGTCTGACTGGCACCCAATACTACAACCCACACAACAGGAGCTCTCCGTGGTGGGCAGGGTTAGAGTAGAAACCTTCGCAGACATTACAGAACAAAACCCCTTAGCATCTTCAGCAGACAGCCAAGTACAAATGCTTCAGAGTCTCCTGGGTCCAACCTAGACCTCCTGAAGTGTTAGACCAGAAGACACAGAGGCATGTCGCACGGGTGTGTGTCTCCCTGCCCCCCTCCCCAGGCCCTCTCATCCACCGATGTTACTAAGATCAGGAGCACAGATTCTATTCTAAGAACTTTTGATCTCAGCAGCACCATGTGCTAAGTATCACCAAACAGGTTCAGGACCAGGAACTCTGCAAACGTCACCCATGAACCAGTGTTGACCACCCACCCCACAGCAGGCTGGCTGCAGCTATGTCTGTGAATCTGACTTGCTGCCCCACCACAACCATCAAAGATACTTTGCTTTCCCCGTGAGCTTCATCCCCACTATGACTTTAAAACCTCCAGCTCAAGCTGGTGTGGTGCTTCCCTGGATACTCAGGAGTCAAAGGCAGGAGGGTTGTGAGTTCAAGGACAACTAGGGCTACTGTACTGGTGAGACCCTACCCCAAAAACAAGATAAAAACAAAAGAGCTGAGGGTGTAATTCATGTGTTGGAATGCTCATCTCACACACCCATGAGACCCTGGGTTTAATTCTCAGCATCGCAAAACAAACAAACAAAAAGCCACCACCAAAGAGAAAAACTATTTAATGTCAGAAGCCCTCCCTAGCACACATCAGAAGGTTAACTCTCATAGAAAAGCAGCATTAGACACAGAAGCAGCCCTAGGCGTGCTGATGGGTACTGGCATAAGTCTGGGTTCACCTTCCTTTGACCTTGGGGAACTATGTGGCCCGGACAACTTATTCAATCTCATGGAACCCCTCATCTGCCACAGTGCACATGGACAGAGGCGCTGCGGCATCTCTTGGGCCCAGTTGAATGTTCAGGTTCAACAGTTGCCAGCCTCACCTGAAGGATCATTTTCCTCTGGGGCATTAGAGTAAAAACCTGCCCTTCTCAAATCTGCTGTAGCTCTTACAGGGAGAAGCCCCACCGGGGCTTACATGGGGCGTGCTGGGGTATGGCTGAGGAGAGGATGGGAAGCAGCCAGGGCAGGCAGGAAGAGAGCTGATGGGAGGGTAGCTGTTAATTACAATCTGTCTGGACTTGGGGCACCAGTGTTATGTTTCCCTAACAGCCCCTCGGCACACAGTGATTACCTGATTCATAAATCAAGAGGCCTCCCTAACACGGATGTAGCAGGGAGTGGCTCAGAAGACGGAAACTCAGGCAGCTGGAGAAAATGACAGAAAGCAGTAGGAGGTCAAGGTTGACCAGAGAAGCCGGGGAGCCCCACGAGGCTCATCTCACAGTGCTCCTCAGACCACAGGGAGAATACATTGAATATCCTGCCACTACTACTCACAATTCTGCAACAGCCAAACGGACATCTCCTCCAACACCCTCTCTTTTTTTTGCAGCATAACAAGGTTTTATAAGAAACACTCATTTACTCAAAAAGAATGTATGTGGCTTTCCATATGTGCTATAGTACAGTTTCTTGCTTTTTTGTATGACAATCCATAATGAGAATTTTTCCTTATCAACAATTTTTTCCTTATCAAAAAACATGTGGAAATGTTATTTTTAATGACCATATGCCATTTTCTCCTCCAGTTGTTCTGCCATTTCCTTATTTATCCCCACGTTCTATTGCATAATTTAAGATAACACAAGAAACCTGGGGAATGGCATTTATGTGCACTCCACAACCAATGGCGTATTTTTTCAAGTCACCAAACTATTGGGTTTCAAGCAGCACGAAAGGAATTGCTTTTTTGGAAAAATGTGCATTCAGCCAATCGTCCGGGAGACATGGCATGCTGGTGGGGGAGGGGAGCAGCGGCAGAAGAGGACCCCCCCTCCCCCCAGCACAGGACATGGGGCCCTGGACTCGAGTCTCTGCCTCTGCACTTGACTGGCAGGGGCATGGCCACCCCTGGGCTGAGAAGCACTGTCCTCTTCTCTCCTTGGTTTTACCACTCTCCAAATAGGTAATGTTGACTTCCAACACACCAGGCACCACTGCCTGCCTGGGCAGGGGGATCTGAGGATCCCTGGGAACAATCCCTGGCCTGTGTGAATTCAAAGGCAGGGGGCTTTCCTGGCTCCTGGACTAGCAGACGCCACACCCTTTTCTGCCCCTGTAGTCCTGTCTGTGGGGCTCACGGACACCATATATCACAGACACACCATGGAGCTCTGTGTTCCCTCTGACTCGGTGAGAAGCAGCACTGCTCCCTGACTCTCCTCCAACCCCTGTGCCAACTAGCACTAGCCCCGCGAGAGCCATAAAACCCAGCCACTGCTGAGCCTACCGCCCTCAGGTGGCCTCAGACAGCCTTGGCATAGCTCCAGGAGTAGGCACAGGATGCCACTGCTGGCCGATGTCAAAGAACCGTTCCTTCTATCCCCACGAGTTCCAACCCCACAGACCTTGACAAGTCAGGAAAGACACCTTAGGAAAATCAAAATACCTTTCTAGTGCTTTGAACCATGGACAGAGCAAACTGCCAAACTTTTCCAATACTTCTGGACGTAGGAGGCGCTCTCTGGACGGACAGCCGGGGGCTGGATGCCGGCAGTCACGCATGGAGTCCTCATGGAGTGAGGACACTTGTGCGGTCTACTTCCAGCCGGTCATGTGGCCTCAGGAAACAAGTCACTCACAAGCAGAACTCCTGTTTCAATGCCCTGATTTCTTCTTTAGTGCACATAAAAACTAGCTACTAGGCCCTTAGATAATATTTTCATCCTAAAATTTTAAATTTAGGAGTTCTGTATTCAAAACAGTTTTTTTTTATTGTAAAGATACTGTATAGACTGGGAAGGGATGTGAAGGATAAACAAAGGAGGAGGCTGCAATGCTTGGTAAGAAATGTACGCATTATCCTGCCCATGTAATTGTAACCCCTCTGTACAGTATGTTCGCAAATAAAATAAATTAAAAAAAAAAGATACTGTACAGAGGGGTTACAGTTACATGAGTAAGGTCATGAGTACATTTCCTATCGAGCATTATTACCTCCTTTGTTTTTCCCCTACCATCCCTTCTCCCCCACCCTAGCTCCTCCCCGCCGGGCGCCCACCCTCCTCCCCACCCCCCATCAAAACACTCATCTCTCAAGAAAATATATAAAACCACTCTTGCTTCACCTCCCATCAGAAGAGGAAGTGGGAAAGGTTCTCAGAAAAAAGGTTAGGGACAAATGACTTTCACATTCAGACACCGATGTAGTGAAGGCCCACAAAGACCAGGACCCCATCATGGTGCTGCTGGGAGGTTATGGATGGGAGGCGGTGGAACCTTGGCCGGAGGTCTTTAGGCCACTGGGAAATTTCTTTGATGAGAACTGAGGGAGCCTGTCTCCCTTCTTCCTCTCCCCCCCCCACTTCTTCCCCCATCCCTCTCTCCGCCTCTCTCCCACCAGGAGGTGACCTATTTTGCTCTGCCACTGTCCCCAACATTGCCATACTACACCCACCTCTAGAAACCTGAAAACAAGGAGCTCATTCAATTATAGAATTATGGAATCTATAAACCCTGATTCCAAAATCAACCTTTTATTTCTCATTATAAGCTGATTATCTAGGCTATCTAGTTGCGCTGACAGAGAGCTAACTAGCACGCTCACTTATTAGACAGCTGCCCTGATATGAAAGCTGTCCGTCTGGCTGCAGAGCCTCACGTGGCCTCTCCCTTTACTGATTCTTCCTTAAGCCATTAGAATAGAGTCTCTAGCTTTTCTGTTCATCTCTTCATCTTTTCCCAAGAAAGTAACAATGATATACAAGAGGATTTAAAAAATGTTTAACCCTTCAGCCCAGTTCCCCAGGAAGAAGACAAGAGACACCACCTAGAGGAAAATTCCGGACCAGTCCCTCCCCACTGACTCACAGCAAGCAAGAAGCTGCTCCCTGCAGAACTGGTGGCAGGCCCCCAGCATGAGGAGGGACTGCTAATGAGGGCCATGGGGTCTGCGGAACTCAGGCAAGAAAATGAGAAGGGCCAGCCAGGCCCACAAAGCCATTTCCTGGTGCTTCTGGTTGCTTTCCATTCCATTCCATCCTCAGAGGAACAGGTTGCCTAGCAATAAATGCCAATGTCACTGGCCCGGCAGGGTGTTTTTCCGCATTCTTTTAGCCAGAAGAGTGCTTCCGGTATGTTCCTCCAAAGCGTCTAGCCCCCCTCCTCCCCCCCCAGTGAAGGCAACAGCTGGCCTCTCCTCCAGCATGTGTCCCACATTTCCTGTTGGTGTTTGCTTCTGGTTTATTATTCTAGCAGCCTCTAATGACAAGCTCAACAAGATTTAAGCTATTCTTCAAAGGCAGTTCCTTCCCACTTTGTTCCTAAACTTTCTTCCTCCATAAACTGTCCCAAGAGGCCCAGAAGGGAGGACAGGGCCCTGAGAATGACACGGGCTTTGCTCTCCCACAGCAGCCTTCCACAGATGAACGGTGCTTACCTTCACACTTCCTCCATCCTCAGCACTAGAGTTTGCGAGTTCCCGCCCCCTGCCCACCAGGATACCCTTTCTTTCTGAGACCCTCCATGCTTCCTTCACAAAGGCAGCTGTCCAAACGGATGGCTCTCCTCGGAACAGAAACTACAGACTTGAAGGTTTGCAGATCTGAGGCAATCTGAACACCAATGTTCAGAAGGAAGATGGAGATAAATCAGCCAAATCTGAATCCGTCACTGGAGGGAAGACAGCTTAACCTTGAAATCTACAGACACGCCTCTACAAAAGGTTCTTCCTCCTTCTGCTGGCTCCCCAACATTCTGCCTTTCCACATGTGACTGAGGATCTAG